ATACAAATGCCATAATTCTTAGCCTGACATTCAAAATCACCCATGACCTGACCTTGACCTATCCTTCTAATCTTATCCCATCTCTCCCCTTTATAAACTCTATTACTCCAGATAAATACAACTTCTTGCTCTTACTTATATGCACCCCTGGCTTTTCTGCCTCAGGCAACCTTAATACTTAATATGACAAATATTTTCAAGGAATACAATATGAAGGTTTCTCACAGGAACAAAGAACAATTGCTTGTGTGCAAGTGTGAACTTGAATTGTAAGAATTTAAGTTTAATTATGAGCATTTATTCTCTCTTGCAACTATCACAATAAAATTTCTGGTTCAAAAAAAAACCCCTAAACATTTGACCATCATTTCCCCAAATTATGTCACCTTCGCAATGTCAAAAGCCCCTGCTATTGCTAACTCAATTCTAAGTTTGAATAATTATGGTCTCTAGCAGAGTGTGCAGACCCTCGGGGGCACAAGATACCCACAGTTATAAAAGAAGAAATTAAAGATTCCATTTATACTTATTCTTTATCCAACTCACTTAAATTTCTTTTGTAGTATATGCCTCATTATTTACAACATACACTCCTGGAAGAGTAGGAGATATAATTTATGAATAAATGCATTGGGGATGTTTACTCAAAAATTTGCTTACTCTAGTACATACAAGAAATCTTTAGAGATCACTGGTCAAGAAAATTAGGGCTTTCAGAAAAGCTGTGAGTTTAGAAGTACAGGACCAGAAGTAGTCAATTTAAAGAAATCTCTGGGGACAGACCTAAAAACCTAAACACCATATGTTGTGTACATAGGGTAAATATGTTTTAATTTCTTACCGACTTTCAAGAAAATGTTGAAATGGAACTGGTTTGTAATTTGGAGACAGCATATACCTGTTTTAGATTTTTAAACAGGGAATTTTCTCTTGACATTTACGTTACTACAGTAAATATTTCATTAATATAAAAATTCCATGTCAAAACCTGCCAGTATTTACTTCTGTGGGTGTGTATATACCACACACATATATTAGCATATATAAAATTAGTATATTGGTATATATATTAACATATATACAGTAATTACAGATAATAGAATAATGTAATTATATATAATTAATCATAACTATTCATAAAGAGCTTTTATTACATCCAATAATGTGATAGTTTATAAAAGGCAGTATAAGGGAAAAATAAAACAGGTCTAGAAGATAAGACTACCATAGAACCAGCCTAGCAAGTAGTACCCTGGGAAAGTGTCACAGTCACATTTAATAACTGAATGAAGTAAATGTTCTCATAACAGTCACAATACTTGGTAAATTTTTTTCTAGTTTTCATAAATAATATTACGTACTTAATACAATCAAATCTATTATGGGAATTTGAAGAAAACATAAGGTCCTGGCAGGTTCTTGGTCCTCTAGACCAACAGTGTGCATGTGAGAACAAATTTTTTAAAACAACAATGCTCAGGGACACCCAAAACAATTCTGATTTAGTTGGTCTGACATGGTACCTGAGGGTATCAGTAGTTTTTGTAGCCTCTCCAGGTAAGTCTAATGTATAACCATTGCTGAGAATCACTGAGTCTCCCTCTGAATATCTGACAGAGTTACCATTTTTACCTATTCAAAATGTCACCATCATGATAGATCTCCCCTAACTTAAGAGTTTATTCTCTCCAGCATTAGTATTAAACTTCTGACTAGCTTCCCATATCTAATTAACGGCCCCTAACAAAACAGTTGAATGGTAAGGGGTATGGCGTCAGCCCAAGACTGCCTGTGCTCAGATCCTGGGTCTAGAGCTTATGATGAAAACTTGGGAAAATCATAAAAGTTTTCTGTGCCTCTATTTTCTCATCCATAAATGGGAGAAACAAATTTACCTAATCTCATAACTGGGGATTAACCAGTTAATATAAATAAAGTACTCCATAGGTGTTAGGATATTACTTATCCAAATTTGTTTCCCACTATTTTCAACTCTCATGATGAATCATTCCCTCACATTATATGCTATGTCTCACTGTGCTTTTGCACATACTGCTTCTGTAGGCTGGAATCCTCTCCCATTCCTTCCATCCTTCCTTCCCTCATTCCAACACAAGGGCAAGGTGCATCTCATCTTCCTCCAGGGGACAATTTAGTCTCTCCCTACCTCCATGAAGCCTTCAACAATACTAATAAACTTACACCGATCTCTTCCTTTTTAAAAACTTCCCACAGGGCAGTTTATTAAAGAATTAGCTGGGAATTAAAGACACTGGCTCTGGGTTTGAATCCTAGATCTGCCACTTGCTCTCAGAGTCATTTCCCAATTCTATAACTCTATTGTTAGGATTACTGTGAGGATTAAGAGCCTTAAATCATATAAAGCATTAGAATAGCAAATAACAAGCACCTGGAATGTCAGCTATTATCATATATATTTGTTGTTTTATATATTAGGCTTGTTCATATACTATGACTAAAGAGTTCTTGGAATAGGAGTTTTGAACTCCTTGAAGTCAAGAACCATGTCTCATACTGCTATTATAAGTCCTACACCTTACAACATAGTAACAAACATCTATACTAAGTGATCTATAAGTACTTGATAACATTTTTATATAATTTGTGAGTAAAATTCATAACAAGACTGGAAACACATTTCTGATTAATGGAAACAAATATTCAATAAAACAGCAAATGAATCCAAATAAAACACAGGTTGAAAAGATGGGTTTAAAGTAACTAGATTACTTTTTAAAAATTCAATAGCAAGTTTCTATAGATTCATCTTCTAAAAGGCCACTTCCAATGATGTTTTTTTATCTGCCTAAAAACCTTTAGATTTTTCTCATTTCCTAAAATACAAATGCCATAATTCTTAGCCTGACATTCAAAATCACCCATGACCTGACCTTGACCTATCCTTCTAATCTTATCCCATCTCTCCCCTTTATAAACTCTATTACTCCAGATAAATACAACTTCTTGCTCTTACTTATATGCACCCCTGGCTTTTCTGCCTCAGGCAACCTTAATACTTAATATGACAAATATTTTCAAGGAATACAATATGAAGGTTTCTCACAGGAACAAAGAACAATTGCTTGTGTGCAAGTGTGAACTTGAATTGTAAGAATTTAAGTTTAATTATGAGCATTTATTCTCTCTTGCAACTATCACAATAAAATTTCTGGTTCAAAAAAAAACCCCTAAACATTTGACCATCATTTCCCCAAATTATGTCACCTTCGCAATGTCAAAAGCCCCTGCTATTGCTAACTCAGTTCTAAGTTTGAATAATTATGGTCTCTAGCAGAGTGTGCAGACCCTCGGGGGCACAAGATACCCACAGTTATAAAAGAAGAAATTAAAGATTCCATTTATACTTATTCTTTATCCAACTCACTTAAATTTCTTTTGTAGTATATGCCTCATTATTTACAACATACACTCCTGGAAGAGTAGGAGATATAATTTATGAATAAATGCATTGGGGATGTTTACTCAAAAATTTGCTTACTCTAGTACATACAAGAAATCTTTAGAGATCACTGGTCAAGAAAATTAGGGCTTTCAGAAAAGCTGTGAGTTTAGAAGTACAGGACCAGAAGTAGTCAATTTAAAGAAATCTCTGGGGACAGACCTAAAAACCTAAACACCATATGTTGTGTACATAGGGTAAATATGTTTTAATTTCTTACCGACTTTCAAGAAAATGTTGAAATGGAACTGGTTTGTAATTTGGAGACAGCATATACCTGTTTTAGATTTTTAAACAGGGAATTTTCTCTTGACATTTACGTTACTACAGTAAATATTTCATTAATATAAAAATTCCATGTCAAAACCTGCCAGTATTTACTTCTGTGGGTGTGTATATACCACACACATATATTAGCATATATAAAATTAGTATATTGGTATATATATTAACATATATACAGTAATTACACATAATAGAATAATGTAATTATATATAATTAATCATAACTATTCATAAAGAGCTTTTATTACATCCAGTAATGTGATAGTTTATAAAAGGCAGTATAAGGGAAAAATAAAACAGGTCTAGAAGATAAGACTACCATAGAACCAGCCTAGCAAGTAGTACCCTGGGAAAGTGTCACAGTCACATTTAATAACTGAATGAAGTAAATGTTCTCATAACAGTCACAATACTTGGTAAATTTTTTTCTAGTTTTCATAAATAATATTACGTACTTAATACAATCAAATCTATTATGGGAATTTGAAGAAAACTTTACATTTCTGTAAAATTAAGTTCTAAAAATTAGTAAAGATTTTGTATCCCAATGATGCATTATATCCTTTAATACCATGCATCCTACAAATGCTTCCTCTGCAGGGCATAAAATAGAAAATGTTCATTTTAAATTGATGCTCTACAGTTTTTCTTGGTATTATGTTAAAATAAAAATCCAAATGTGCAAAAATCTCATGATTTAAATTCTCAGCTTGTAGGTTGCATGCAAATCCCTTAGGATTTGCATTAAAGTCATAAAAATATGGAGGAGGTCAAACTTTCCGCAACATCTCTCTCCTATTGTAACATATGGACTGACCGGAAAACTATTCACACATGGCTCAGCTCTGTCTTTCCTTTTGAAGATGGGGTTAGACTGAGTTCTCAGAGAAAATGGGGAAGAAAGACAAAAGGAAGGTCTTCTTTCTTTGGAAACCAATGTCATTATGTCCAGTAAAACTAAAAGAACTTAATCAAAGAAACTATGAATTCTTGTGTTACGAGCATCTAACAGTTGCGAGACCATCACAAATTAAAAGGGATTTATCAAAGCATTCGTTCCCCTACACATGCAGTGAGAAGAAAACACCAATGAACACCAGGCAAAGAGCAATAGGCAACTTGACATTTGACACTGGCAGCATCTGAAGATGGGATAATGCACAAATCCCATGCCTCTTAGGTACACACTGAACTGGCAAAGACAGACGCATTGCCTTCTTCCCCCCTTACTTACTACACTCTGGCTTCCATTTTTCCCAAGTTCTTCCTCTGAAATCTTGCTCAAATTATCTAAGTAGTGGTCTGATATTGTATGGCACAAATCTTCAAAAGAATAATCCTTTTCTTGACAGAGTTTTATTTCATCCAAGAGTTTCGATAATTCTCCAGTCACAGTTTCACCTGTAAGAAGACAGTAAATGTTTCCAAATTTTCAAGAAAAGCTACTGCTAAAATTTAATATTGAATAATAAAAATATAACTCATATGGTGATATAATTCAAAGTATGACAAAAAAGGAGTCAGGAAACATTCTGCTGAAAACAAGGAACTTAACTAATTAATATAAGAATATTAAAAGACAATGAGAAATTCCAATTTTGCCTATTATTCTTTTCAAAATGGAAAAAACACTGAAGGCTTAAATACACAGAGTACATAAAAGCATCTTTAATTACAGTTTCTAAAGCCTCATTTATTATAACATCTAATTTTTAATAATCTTTTATCAGCATTACACTTCAACTAACAATTCATTTAATACTAACAAATTTGAAATGGTATTGGGAGCCTACTTCTTATGTCCAGCAAAAAGAAAGAGCATATTTAACCAAATAATTATATAAGCAATTAATAAATGAAACATATAATATATGATATGAAGGGAAAACAGAAAAATCAGATAACATGCATTAGCTATGAAAACATGAATATTTTTATAGGTTGTACGCAAATACGTATTTTTCTAATCATTCTCAGAAAGGTACTTTATGCTTGTAATTTCTTCTAGAAAAAAAAAGAACTCCAGCATTTACAATCCAGTTATCAATACATTTATTCTGTACAAAAAAATGCATTTTAGGAAAAATACTGCTATGAACTATCCACTCCATGTAAACTTCATGACAACAAGGATTACTATCTGCTTTACTGTATCTCAGGACTGAGAGTCCTACCTGACAATTAACAGGGACTCAACAAATGTTGATGGAATAAATGAATAAAATATGGAGTAAATAAGATATAACTTGAAATTTTAACAAGTATTAGCCTTTCTGTATATACAGGACAACTTTGTACATAAAAGCCTAGTATTATTTCAAGGGCTTTATAATTAGCTACTCACTTTTGGTCTTTTGGGAAAGAGACTCAACAGGAGATGAAATGTGCGATTCTTGTGTTGTATCTTCCTGTACATGCTCTTCAAGGACTGTTGATCTTCCCACACCTTCTAAATATTCTGTGTATATAAGTTTATGAAATTACATACTTGAATTCATTTATTATAAAATCAATAACTAAACTTTGCATTTTACTTCTGGTAGTCCATTTTTCATTTATTTCCTCATATCCTAAATATATCCTAAGTTTTTTAAAGAACTTCAAAAAAAACCAAACAAATCAAAAGAACTTTATGATGGGCTATTAATTTAAAGTTTTTTAATTAAAGTAAGAAAGGTATTTCGGAGGAGGCTTATGAATCATAAACCCTTTTTCTGAAGACTATACTTGTCACATTCTTTCCTTAAAGATAATTTCACCACTGAAGATACAATAATATCCTAGGTTTCCTTAAATATATTCTATCTGAAGATTTAAAACTCTGAAATATGTTTTAAAACACACTTGATCCCTAAACAGTCAGATGGATACAACAGCCAATAAGAAAACATAAATGTATGAAGAGGGGTAAGTTTATGTTATAACAGTGTTGTAATCTTGTCAGATAAGCATAATTGCACATTAAACTTTATTTCCACAAAGAAATGAGATTCTTTCCTTTTACTTTGAAGCAATAAAGTCCCACACTCAACCTATCTCTCATTTTCCAATTTTAATGAAGACACAATAACAGTAACAGCAGCTAACACTTAAATATTACTTACTATGTACCCAGCAGTATTCTATTTAATATAAATTAACTTACTTAATCCTCATAAAACTATGGCGCAAGTATTACAACTATCTCAGTTTTAAAGATGACAACTAAAGAACAAGGAGTTTAACTTGGCCACATTCATACAACCAATATGTGGCAGAGCCAGAAAACATTTCCCTTTTCTCTTAAGCGTAAGGAAAACAGCATCTGAATGCAGGTATAAATGTTAACAAATATTCAGTCTCAATGTAACAAAAAGAACAGAGAGGATTTAGAGCATGACTAACCAAAGAGCAAGTGCCCCACCTGAAGTTCAGCAATGCATTTTTTGAGAAATCAAAACTCTGGAGTTTTAGCTGAAATCCTATAATTTTTAAATGTTGAAAGCTAATTCAATTTTTATGGAATCACAGCGTGCGCAAAAAATATGTGATCTAAACAACATATATCTGCTATCTGCCAAAAACACTCAGGTCACAGTGGCTAATTTGTAGTCTACATCTAAAGGATTAAATCAATAGATTCCCTCCCCACAGGGATTTTTTATGCGTACTTCTTTACTCAGAAGGAATCTTTTTCTTAAAATCCAGTTTACAAAGCTCTCATCTCAACTAATTGTGTCTTCATCCAAATAGTTTCTACCTAAGGGCAATTCTACTAGACAAATGCTATTAGAAAAAGAAAGCCACTTATGGAATTCTATCCTTAAGTTTTTGACCCATACAGTAATTATGTAAACTGAATTCCTCCTCCAGGACACAAAAAGTAATTTTATCTACTATAAATTGGCTTTATTTCAGTAACCAACTTTTTCATAAGACTTTTAAATATACCAGTGATTTGAAATCCAAGAATGCAAAGAATACAGATGACATGTTCACATTCTAAAATTTGCCAATAATTTTAAAAATTAAGAGATGTCCTATGTATCCCATCACAAACTGGCATACCTCATGAATCTTGACCATTTAAGAGAACACAGATAGTGACTCTTATATAATAACATTTTCATCTCAGTTGAACCAATGCAATAAATATCTGTAATTATGTCATGCCCCATTTTTAGCAGATGAGATTAATTTTGCTTCTCCCAAAAGACATATTATTCACAAGCTCCATTTCTTTTAAGGTTCAGTTACAGGTAAAAGCCCAATATGAAATTCCAAGTGCATAGAGGGGGAAAACAAAAATGATGTGTACTCTCTTTTTTATTTTTTAGCTTTCATTCAACTTGATTTTCATTTGAATTAATATGAAGAACTGCTCTTGTATTCTCTGATTTATCTCTATATACACTTGACCTGCAATTAACTTCTTTATTGACAAGAAAATTGTAGGGGCTGAATTTTCCCAAGAGGTTTTAGAAATATAGAAGAGAGCATAATGACCTTCTATAGTGTATCTATTCTTTTTACCCCTGTCTGGACTTTGTTGACTCTTGTGGACCTACACATCTCCTGCCCAACTTGGTTTGCATTCATTTATCTCCTTGTAGGGTAAATATGTTCTTCAGCTTCCCATCTGATACCCAATGAAACCCATCTCTACATCCCTCCGCTATTATACTAGCTGCCAATATGTAACAATTATATGAAACAATCACTGCTGAACAGTATAGGAGCAAACTGGAAAAGAAAGAATGAACATCTGGGTTTTTAAGGGAACATGCTACATGCCAGTCTTAATCACTAAGCAGAAACGGAAAGCAATTAAATAAAAACTTTTCATAAAAGTTTTAGATCAAAAAGGGAAGTATGCACTCCTGAAAATACAAGATGGTTGGCAAACATGCAGTAAATCTAATAGCTGCAACTAACTGCAAAGGTACTTAAATGATCTTTATCAAAAGCAAATGCTGGCAAGATTGAATTATCTTGTACTACTGGATAAGGAAGAAAATAGTCTGTGTTCATTCAGCTAACTATGATTTTTGTTGCTGTTAATCTAGCAATTATATACCAGGTCTACCACTTAGAAAGGAATATATGAGATTAAACAAGTCGCTTAGCTTCTCAGAGCTTCAGTTTCCCTCATTTGCCAAAAGGAGAATAAAGATATCTGACTTACACATCTCACAGCTATGGAAATCAGACAAAATAATAGAAAATCCCTGAAAACTCTTAAAGCATAATTCAAATATAAGATATTTAATTATTATCATTTTATAGCCTTCAAGTTCATAACTACATATTTACTATATGTGTTAAAAAGACATTTTCAATATCAATAAGTAACAACAAAAAACACTTAAGCTTTTCTTAAAGGACTGAGTGGATAAAGAACAGAAACATTAGAAAGTATTATTGCCCTCTCTCTTCTCTCTCTCTCTTTTATGTGGACATAGAAAAAAAGCATTATTATTCATCTTAGAATTCTACCAAAGAAAAATGCAGTAAGTTCACTCAAAAGTAAACATTAACACAAAACCCAAGAGAAAACTAAGATACTTTTAATTGAACCCTAACTTTAAGGCAAACTCATCCATCACTCAATATTGTTTACCTTGTAGGAGTGTTGCAATCTGGAGAGATTTCTGAGATGGATGTTCTTTCAGAATGTCTAGGACAGTTCTACCTAAGCTATCCTTTATGTTGGCATCAATTCCTGAAAGAAAAAAGAAAAACCCACTAGATGTACAATACTAGAGTATCAGAAGATGTCAGCATTTAACACCTTTAATTTCAAATGTATACGGACCAAACACTAACAATAAACTCTAAAACACACACACACACACACACACACACACACACACACACACACATGGTTTTGGTAAGAAATAAAGTAGCAGTCTAATCTCTATTAGGAACATTTCTGATAACGAATTAACTCTTACAGGGCAATGACAAATTAATATTGTTTTTTTAGGACTATAGATAGTTAACTAAATGGTACAGTATCAAACTGAAAAATATTACTGATTTAAAATGTGAATTACAAAAATATAATGGCAATATGATTTATTTATTCTGTATAATATGGCAAAAATTCGTAAAATATAATATGCCATATGAATAACATAAAAACAGTCTTAGAACACTTGACTATTCACAAAAGTCAAAAAGCATGAATATTTTGAACTATTTCCTAAATGTTATTTGTACAAATACAAAGTCAAATACGTCTGTTTTACTTACACAAAATTACATTCAATGTCAGCAACACTTGTCATCTACCTAGAGAGAAAACTTCTTGCAGTGTGTGATTAGCACAACTTTGATATTGTTTTAGTTCTGAAAATATTTATTGTACTAAAGAACTTATTTTAAGATAGCAAATAGTTTTCACTGCTCCCAAAAAAGTTTATAAGCCTTCTAAATATCTACCCACAAACAAGGCCAGTTTTAGGATATGGCCTCAAATATTAGTTCATCATATTATTAAGTGTTTTCTTAAACTTGTGTGGGGATGTGGGATGAAGACATATTTAATTGGTTGCCTCAAAACATTTATTATATCACTATATTTCATGTCAAAGTTAAATATATAGAAACTAACTTTGTGTAAGCACAATCAAAGCTCAGTAGTCTGACGTTTTCCATTTTCCATTTTTACAAAGGAAAATAAATAAAGTAAATGTAGTCCATGATATAAAAGATTCATATCAATTATTTCCAAGCATGAACTTGTACCCATGCCTTTTGATACTAAAAAAATCTGACCTCAGTCAATTTTATTTGATTTCAATTAGAATATACATATGAAGATAAATAAGCCTACTTTGTTGTTCCTTCAAAGAATTCCCTCTAAAATTTTCCCTTTATATCACTGCAGCTTAAACCACAGCAAATGGACAAGAAAAAGAAATAAAAGGCATCCAAATTGGTAAGGAAGAAGTAAAACTGTTACTATTTGCAGATGACATAATAATATATATAGAAAACCCTAAAGACTCCACCAAAAAACTATTAGAACTAATTACTGGATTCAGCAAAGTTACAGGATTAATTCTGTGCAAATTTAATACACAGAAATCTGTTGCATTTCTATATACTAACAACAAACCAGAATAAAGAGAAATAAGGAAAACAAATCCATTTACAATTGCATCGAAAAGAATAAAATACCAAAGAATACACCTAACCAAGGAAGTGATAGACCTGCACTATGGAAACAGAAGACACTGATGAGAGAAATTTCCAAGTAAATGGAAATCTATCCAATGTTCCTGGATAGGAAAAATTAGTACTGTCAATGTCATCCTGCCCAAAGCAATTATAGATTCAGTAGAAACCCTATCAAAATACCAACAGCATTTTTCAATGAACTAGAGCAAATAATCCTAAAATTCATATGGAACCACAAAAAACACAAATAGCCAAAGCAATCCTGAGAAAGAAAAACAAAGCTGGGGATATTGTGCTCCCTGACTTCAAGCTATACTACAAAGCTTCAATAACCAAAACAGTATGATACTGGCACAAGAAGAGAGCCAAAGATCAATGGAACAGAAGAGAGAGCCCACATATAAATCCATACATATATGGTCAATTAATACATGATAAAGGAGACATGAATATACAATGAGGAAAAGATAAGTTTCTGCAATAAATTGTGTTGGGAAAATTGGACAGCAAGAAAATGAAATTGGATTACTGTCTAACTCCATATACAAACAAAAAAACTTGAAATGAATTAAAGACCTAAATATAAGAAATGAAACCATAAAATTCTTAGAGGAAAACATAGGCAGAAGTCTCTTAAACATAAGCATGAGCAATTTCTTTCTGGACACGTCTACCAGGTGAGGTAAATGAAAGCAAAAACAAACAAATAGCTTCTGTACAGCAAAGGACACTATCAACAGGAAAAAAAGGCAGCTTACAGTATGGGCAAATATACTCAGAAACAATTTATCTGAAAGGGGTTAACATCCAAATATATAAAGAACTCACGCTTGCACACCAAAAAAACAAAAACCTGATTAAAAAATGGGTGGAGGACCTCAACAGACATTTCTCCAAAGAAGAAATACAGATGGCCAACAGGCACATGAAAAGATGCTCCACATCACTAATGATCAGGATAATGTAAATCAAAACCGCAATGAGATATCACCTCACACCAGTCAGAATGGCCACTACCCAAAAGACAAGAAATAATAAGTGTTGGTGAGGATGCAAAGAAATGCAAACACTCCTACACGGTTGGTGGGAATGTCAATTGGTGCAACTACTGTGGAAAGCAGTATAGAGGTTCCTCAAAAACTAAAAATAGAAATACCATACAACCTACTGATTCCACTTCTAGGAATTTACCTGAAGAGAAAAAAAATCCCTGATTCAAAAAGATATATGCACCCCTATGTTTATGGCTGCAATATTTACAATAGCCAAGACATGGAAGGAACCAAATTATCTGTCAATAGATGAATGGATAATGTGGTACATATACACAATGGAATATTATTCAGCTATAAAAAAAGAAAGAAATCCTGCCATTTGCAACAACATGTACGGCCCTAGAGGGTATTATGCTAAGTGAAAAAAGCCAAGCAGAGAAAGACAAATTCCATATGATTTCACTTATTTGTGGGATCTAGAAACAAAACAAAACAAACTGAGCAAAACAGCAGTAGACTCACAGACACTGAAAAGTGACTGGTGGTTGCCAAGGGGGAGAGAATGGGGTAAGTCAGTGGTATGGGTGAGGGGGATAAAAAGGCACAAAATAAAAAAATAAAAATGAAAAGATAAATCACTGTAGCTTACCAACAATAATACTCAGTTGATAAGTAACTAGAAGGTAAATGCATCTTAAGCAGAGGTCAATCAAATTTCTGTTTACCATAGTTCTCAATCTAAAAATGTAGGTAAATATTATGTTCTTTAATAAAGCAAGCAATTGTCATAACTTCCCAGGGATCAGCTCCTCCCTCTTGTAGAAGACAGATTTCCTTTTCCTTTTAGTATTTTTCTGTTATATTTTAATGTACAAAATAGTTATTTCCCAGAGCCTTTTACTAGAACATCTGTTGAGTAAAGGAAGATGCATGCACATTCATATTAATTTTGTTTAAACAATGAGATTCAATTCTACACGATATGAATATTTATCTTCAATTTGGATTGCATGCAACAAGTAGAGGTAATTGTTGGGGAAAAACTGTGTCATTTTCCTTTGTCTACTCCTGAAACAGAAATTGTATTGAGCAGAATAAACTCCAATGAGAAATCACAATACTTACCTGTTTCTAACAGAACTCTCACAACATCCACCTTCCCAAACAAAGCTGCTTCATGAAGTGCACTCCCCTTTTCTGTCTGGAAAAAAAAGAAGAAAAAAGGAAAAGCACAGTGCATTAGAAATGTTTATAGGTTAAAAAATTCTGTCACTTTATATAGTCATACCTATTCTCTATAATCTCAGCACTCTCTGACAGAAAGGTAGCGTGGAATAAAGAAGAGATTCCAGAAACAAAATCCAAAAGCTTTGGTTTGTGAAACACCTCTGCTTCTGAATAGCATTTGACCTTGTTATGTTGTTAGGTTAATGAACCACTCCCTTCCCTTAGCCCCGGCTGTTTGCAAGTGTAAAATAATGTAGTAACACCTACCTCACAAGGTTTCTATATATATCCAATGAGTTCACTCAATTTTCATGCACTATATGTATTTTTTAAACACCAACTATATGCCAATAGTTAAGTTTTCCTTAAGTACAGAAATATGATCCTGGCCCTTGTATATTCACATTCTATTTCATAAGATAGATGTATAAATAAATATGATAAATGGAATCCAAAAAAATTCATTTTGTGCTTTACAGAACCCAGATGATCTTTCCCTGCTTTCCTCTACACATCCTCTCTTACCCACCCAGCTCCCCTCCAGACCTTGTACCCTATACTCCAGGCATACTGAACTTTTTCATATTAGCATCTTCCACTGTTTTCTTCCCTACAGATCTCAAAAGTTTGTTCCTCTACCTAGCAGGACCTAAACCTCACCCTCTGTTTCTCACCCCTTACCTATACCACTAGTTCTCAATCTTCAGCATGAACCAGAATTACTTAGGAAGCTTGTAAACATATTTCTGGTCACCAGAGTTTCTGATTCAGTAGCCTGGGATGAGGCCCGAGAACTTCGATTTCTAACAATTTCCCAGGTTATACTGAGATTCTAGGGAGTACACATTGAGAACCACTGACCTATATTACATGTCAAATCTCAAGCTTAAATATAATTTCATTTAAGAAGCTACAGCTGGCCCCTTAAGTCTAGTGCTTCTCTTGTGTATTCCACATCAATCTACATTTTCCACATCACAGCACTTACAACAACACATTACAATTTCATGTGAATGTCTACTTCCTTAATTAACTGTAAGTTGTGTGTAAATGTAGACCACATCTATTTTTTTCATTATTGCATCCTCAGTGCCTAGCAAAGTACCTTGAAAATGTAGATGTTTAAGGTTTATTTTGAGGGCAAAAGGTAGAGGGAGAGGGGAAGATAGCACGGAAAAGAAGGAATTGTGAGTAATGCAGGAAGAAACTGGTTTATGCCTCGAGGAGGATCCAGGAAGATTTCAAAGAGGAAGCTTTTTGAGATATACTAATATTAAGTGATTCTTCCATTTTTTTCTTTTTCTCTCAAGAATTTAACATTTGTCTACTAGATCCTCTGTGTATATACATGTTTGTGCATGTGTGTAACTGAATAGTGTCATTATGGCAGTTTTGTCCCCTTATCCTAAAAGTGATCTCTTATGTGGGATTCTAATCTCATCCCAAGTAGAAATATCACTATAAAACAATATATAACAAAATATATAGAATAATCAATAAAAAATTATGAAAAAACAAAAATCTTTCCTCAATAAAATCCTATTGTGTAATTAACCTAACCTAAAATGGTTTCTGAATGCATTTTTAAGTAGGCCAAGGATCAATGTGATCTGAATTTACCTCCAAAAAGGTATAACTGAAATGCATTTGAATAATAGTTTGGCATGATATGTATACATGCTAATAAAAATGAAAATAAAAACAATACTTTATAAATATACAGCACTGTGAAGAAAAAGGAAACTACAGAAACTTACACAACTACTTGAAAAAATATTCCAACGTGGGGCACAAATACTTTATTTTTTCCATTCCCTGAAAAAGATCTCTTGAAACAAGTTAATTCTTCTCATTTTCTGTTTTCAATCAACTTTCTGATTGCTAGTTTGATTTCCTTCCACTTTTAAAAAGTTTTAGAAAAACCCGGCTACTGCCTCATCCCAGGCTGAGTTAATGTGTTAGGAAAACCCGTCCTAGAATAGCACACCTTAAAATTCTGAAAAACTAACCAACATATTAAATATAGGGAGGAAGAGGAAAAGTAACAGAACTCCTCAAAACCTGAAGAAAAAGGGGGATGGAAAGTATGAATCCAGTGATTTAGCTCTGTCCCAGGAATTAGTTCTAGGGAATCGGCCAACCCATTGTAGACTAATGCCTGTACTTTACCAAGCTGCTCAAAGTAAGAGTGGGAGGGGGCATAGGAGACAAAGTCTAAAGCCCAAGCAAGCTGAGAGGATAGACCAAGGGCTCCTGCTAAAATCTTACCCCTTCAGTGGGGAAAAAAATGTTTAATGTGTTGTACAGAGGGAGAAAGTAAGGATGTCTACCTAGGTCTTAGTTCTAACTGGAGTAGAGTAACATGAATAAATACTGCCCTGAGTTCCTAACCACAATTCTGTCCTCACATGGGTTTGGAGCCCACATTACACAATATCTGTGCCCCCCAGTTTCTAAGCCAAAAATGTAGCATAAAGTGATCCTGGGTTTGCAGTACCAGAGGCAGACATAAATGCTTAGCAGAAGCATATATAAGTCTTCTGTGGGAAAAAGAAAACAAAACAAAACTTTAAACTCAGGCCTCCAAGAGTTCCAACAGATAAAGCTCTAAGAAACACAAATTCAAAATTAGAAATTACTGAACATGAAAGACAAGCTATGTCAAGAATTAGTAGAAACAAAAAAGAAAAAAATCACATATTAGAATGATCAGCACAGAATGTAAAATATATATCATCAATATAATGAATAAACTAAGGTTATCAAATATAACTAAAGAACAAGAGGGCTATCAAAACTGACCAAATGTGAAAATGAACTAGATAACACTTCTAGAAATGGAAAACATAGTATTTTAAATGAAACATTTAACAACAGATAAGAGACAGGTGGGAAAAAATAATATTGAACTTGATGGTAGGTTTTTTTCTAAGTACATAATGTAATTCAAAGAAGCAAGAGATTGTAAAAGACAGGACAGAGTAAGAAGATTCGACATATCTCCAATTAGAGTTCTAGAAGGAAATGGTAGAGGTAGGTAACTCTCAATGGTCAATTCTCGAGAAAGGGTGAGATACTGATTCTTAATTCTAGAAATACCAAGCAAGGTAAGTGAAAAGAATACATCCTGGACATAGCACAGTGAAACTACAGAACACCTAAGATAAAGAGAATATCTTAAAACTTTAATGTCTCAAGAGAAAATACTAATTGTCTAAAAATAATTATTAGATCAACTGCTAACTTCTCCACAAAAACAATAAAGCCTGAAGAAAGTATACCATCTTCATGTGTCAAGAGAAAATAATTGGTAACTTAGCATTCTATATCCAGCCAAACTATCTTCTAAGAATGAGAGCAAAATAAAGACATTTTCAGGCAGACAAAAAATGAATGATTATTACAGAGGCTTCTGAAAGAACTTCTGTAGAATTTAATTCAGAAAGAAGGATCTGAGATGCAAGAAGTAATGGTGAATAAAGAGAATGATTAATATAAGGCTAAATCTAAACAACTATTTAAAAATATAACAATAATGCCAACTTTTTGCACTAATTTGATTTCCCAGATACTCTGATACAAGACAGTGGACACTATAGACACTGAAATGGACTATTAGAGGGAGTAAAAATAGATAATCTCCACCAAAAACAATTATTCTCCTGAAGGAAGTAGCTGTAGAAGGCCTGGATTCCAGTGACAGTTTAGCTTTCAGTGTCTATATAACCTTGGGAAGATCACTTATCTCTGAAATATCTGAATATTCATATATCCTGTAAATAAAGAAAATATTAAAAACCTAGTAGGGTTATTGGGAAAGTTAAATAAGATAAATATATAACAAATGAGGTTAAAAAGTGTTTTATTAACCTATAAAGTAATGAGAAGCATTATCATTATTATTATTGCTTCTAAGAGGCAATTAGAAACCTATTTTATAAAATAACCTTAATGATGTTAACATTTTTAAATTACATATAATATATAGTTGTGTATGTGTAAATAGATAATCTCTTTTACATTACTCCAAGAAAAAAAAGCTATGTTAAATAGAATTAATATTTTTCATACACTGAATAAGGAGACACTGAATCCTTGAATAAAACTAGAAAAAGTTAAACAATTTTTTCTAAAAAAAGATATACATTTTTAGCCTGGAAAATAAATCAATTTTTCCAAATCCAAGGTTGATATAATTACTTACTTGTAATTAGTAAGACAATATGAGAACTGTCAAAAGGAATGAATGGTTCTCATAAATTTAAAGTGGGGTACCAAGAACTATTAAATGATAATCACAGTATTATCACAAATAGCATAGAATTTAAATTTGTCAAATCTATGTACTTCTCATTTCTAAATCCAAGTCAACCCCATAATTACAGATTGTCACCTTCTCTCCAGGGTCAGTGCCTACTATCCTCATTCAAGTTAGTACCATTCTGTTCATCTCAGCACTCTCCACCAAATCCACAATCCAGAACTAGCCAAATATTGAACAACTGTATTCTCATGAAATAATATTTAGTCTGAAATAGTCAACAAGCAAGTAGAATGTATACAAAGAAATAACATTAAAATAGGTGAACCCAAATCTTCTCAACCCCCAAGATTTTGGTCCTGTTCTTTTTTATGGATCAAATTTCTTCACTTCCTTGAATTAATCATTTAAAATACATATCATTTCCAAAATAGACATTTATGCATTGGTAATATAGTAACACTTCAGGATTTAGCCAGTAGCCAGATATGAAGCACTCATATTTTATGACCTTTCAGGCAAACAAAACAAAATAAAACATAAACTCTGAACATAAGCAGTGATAAAAAGAGCTGAGGGAGAAGAACTGAAGTAATGAAAATCTAAATGTCAATAGCTGATTTGTGAATCGCTGATGAAAGCAAAAGAAATTCTCTTACTGATTGAAAATGTGCATTAAAGTCAATCCTCAGAAGCCCTAAAGCTAGGGAAAA